CGTCCCCCCTCATTTTCAACTTTTACCAGCAGTGTGTGTGTGTGTGTGTGTGTGTGTGTGTGTGTGTGTGTGTGTGTGTGTGTGCGTGTGTGTGTGTGTGACACATCAGTGCTGCTTCTGCCTCTCAGGAAATATTCACTTCCGTTTTTACTCAACCCAAGCAACACTTCAGTTTCTTTTCCCCTACATCTCCAGATTAGTGTCGAACTCAGCGGCCATGAGTTTGAAAAGGTGCAGATAGATTAAAGTATGTGAAACAGGGTAAACATACATCTATTTATAGCCTCCTTATCGTCAAACAAACAGTGCAGCAACTGCAGTGTTCCCCAGCCATCGGTGCGCACAGAGGAGGAGGAGGAGGATGCTTTTGCTTTCATTCTTTCAGGACCTTAGAGGCGAGGAAGTGATTTGAAGTTGGAGGGCTCCATCTGCACTGAGAGGTTTTGCTCTTCGGGTTTCTCTTTTTTTTGAGGGGGAGCTGATGGAGTTTTCTGAGCACATCAAGACCGCCAATGTGGAGGATGTTGTGCTCCGGCAGCCCCTGCACCCTCCGAGCCGAGGCGCCCTGTGCGTCACCGGCCACCACCTGCTCTTCTCGGTCAGAGAGGAGGAGGGAGGCTCATCCCGGCAGGTTCTACTGCTCCTCAGGAACATCGATGCTACTGAGAAAAGGTGAGATCACTGCATCTTATCAAGTATGAGGATATCAAATCAACAGAGTCTAGAGAAGATGGTTGGTTGCACGTTGCAAAAAGGCCCTTAATATACATGTGTAGAATTAATTCGCTGTGTCTCTTAGTTAGTGCTTTGTGGATCTTTTAGGACTATTTTATTCTGAGGATGGTTACAAACTTGTGAATGGTCACATTCAACAATAACCAACGTCCATTGGACTTGTTGTGTTTCTTGAAGACTTTTCTAAAAGGAGTCCAGAACTGAAGAAGCCTTTTGTATGAGATGTGAAGCATGTTCAAGAAACACAATCAAGTCCATTTGTACGACTCCCGATGATACCATGACCTGTGTGACTGAGAATCTTCACAGATAAATAACAATAACTAAACATCAACAAGTTTCTGTGCCGGTGAATCATCCAACATCTAATTCATCCCTCAAATCTTTTTTTTAACCAGTGTGGAAAATCTTTCTGGCTATTCCGGCCTCTTCTCTAACGCAGGCCGCGGTGAAAGGTTGGACATTTGTGTTGCAGTGTGTCATCCCTGTTGCTGCCGTTACTGCTCACAAGTGCTGCAGAAGGAAATGTGCCAACAACATTGCAGCAATTCTCTTGTCAGCCACACACTTACGCTGTGGGTTGCTTGCTTTTAACAGTCTATTGCTCTTAAGCATCACGAAAGCTTAAGCTTCACTGTAACTGCTTGATATGTTCTTTGGTCAGTAACAGAGAGTTGCAAATTCATTTGTGAGCAGGCTAATGCTTCCCTCCTGCACACAGGTTTGCCTTCCTTCCCTGCTGCAATACATACTTTCTGTACTCCTATATAGATAGACATTTTGTATCCAAGACTCATAAGTGTGTATTTGTGTGTGTAGGGTATCTGGATCATCAGGGACGATTACCATCAAGTGCAAAGATGTGCGAGTGCTCCAGCTGGACATCCCAGGCATGGAGCAGTGTCTCAACATCGCACACTCTATTGAGGTTTTCACAAGTCATCAAATAATCCTACTCAAAGATCACAAACATTTCCTCTTTGCCTTCTTTACTTTGAATCTGATCATCTATTTTGAAGTCATACAACAATCTGTTTCTCTCCAACTCTCTGCAGACCCTGTCCTGTCTGGACAGTGTGTCGGAGATGTATCCTTTCTTTTACAGACCTGCTGATCTAAGCCTGCAGGATCCATGGGGTCTTTCATCCCCTGAAAAGCACTACAGTCAAATGAAGGAGCTGGTAACCAACCTAATAAAACTACGTCTACTTGTAAAAATGTTGCTGCTGTGTATAAATGTAATACCTCATGCATAAAATATATAACCCACTGCAGTCTTACAGACAACCTTTCCCAACAATGGTCCAACACCCACATGACAGGAAAATGCCAGGGAAATGGAATGAATGAATGTAGGAGGTCAACATTCAGGATATCCCTGTTGCTTAGTTTTCATTTGGTTTCCCTTAACTCCAGAATGAGCTGCACACAGCTTGAATTCGTATTCAACAGAGTATTCCTCTGGGAATTGCATTTTGCGATTGTGAAGGGAGTGGACCATGACGGCAGCATTGTTGTGTGTGTTTTATAGGCACACGGTTCCCAAAACACGGGAGATATTCACGCTCGCATGTCTTTGTCCTGTTTGCCACTTCCATGGGAGTTGGGCGATTTTGTTGAGTTTGCGACTGCAATTTGTGAATAGCAGTAATAATAATAAAAGTAGTTTAAACTAATAGTTTGACATTTTTGAAGAAAATGATTTCTACGCAGCCCCTGAAGTCCCAAAAGATTTGTGTTAAATCTTGTGCATCTATCATCTTTTGGGATTCCAGGGGCTCTGTTTTAGCAGTTTATTGAGAAAAAGATAATTATCTAGTGGGAACAAGAACATTATCTTGTGCGCAAATTAGTTGTGCATGAAGAGTTAATATCTGTGCACACACAAGATAAATAAATATCATCTTTTGGGACTTCAAGGGCTCTGAATGTTTCATACCTCTTTTCAAGAATGAAACAAGAAACTCAATACCACCAACAGGTCTGAATATGAAGCTACAACCAGGAAACAGTTACCTTAGCTTAGAATATGGACTGCAAAACAGGAGGAACAACACATTGTGGTTTGATGACGTTTATGTGAGGGGCACCGTGAGAATGCCAGAGACTCAGACTGTAACTATGAGTTTATGTGCTCCTCTGAAGGTCCTGTTTCCCTCTTTGTAAAGTTATTCTGACTTTGGTGTACTCATGTGTAAGATGCAGTGTTAAACGGTTCATCTTTCAATATCTGGAGAATAACAAAGAGCAAAAAAAGAATCAGATGTGATCATCAAATACTTTATAAAAAAAACAAATAATTGAATTTTTTCTTTTATTACATTGCACTGGATTATTTTGTAATGGAAAATGTATCGGCTTTACATACAAAGTCCCATTAGAGAATAGCATAATACCGTACCATGATGTATTTTTGCTAAAATATTCTGATCAGGTTTAGAGTTGTGCACCTTCTATATAATATATGAAGTGTCAGGCCCCTCCCCTCGATCAACAGTTAACATGTGCAGAGAGACATGATATATAATGACTCTTTACAACCAGGTACCACTAACTGCAGCTACTTGTCCGTGCTCTGTGATTGGTGTTTGTTAACTTCTCTTTCCTCTGTTCACAGCATGACAGGTGGAGACTGAGCACTGTGAACCAAGGGTACTCAGTGTGTCCCACCTACCCCCCAGCTGTCATCGTTCCTAAAGAGATAAACGATGACATGCTGCTAAAAGTGGCCAAATTCCGACAGAGAGGACGTTTTCCTGTGCTCTGCTACTACCACAGGAAGAACGGCATGGTGAGACGTTTGTGTGTTTCTCCTCTGGTCTGCACGTACAAACACATTGTGCCAAATATTTCTAAACAACACCAACACTTCTCAGGTTATCATGCGCAGCAGTCAGCCGCTGACGGGAGCCAATAGGAAGCGCTGCAGGGAGGACGAGCTCCTCCTCCAGGTTGTGATTGACAACTCAGACAAAGGTTACATTATTGACACCCGCTCTAGTCAGCAGGCTCAGCAGGCCCGAATGATGGGTGGGGGGTTCGAGTCCAAATCGTGTTACACCGGCTGGAAGAGGCTGCACAGGCAGATGGAAAGGTTTGTGTGTGTGTGTGTGTGTGTGTGCACTGTAGACGCTTTTCACCATGTTATGATTTTGATCTGTCCCATCAAATGAACCTCTTTCACTTTAAAACAGGGGTAAAGCCCTCCAGGAGAGTCTCATTAAGCTGGTGGAGGCCTGTGGTGATGGGTCCCACAATATGGACCGCTGGCTGAGTAAGCTGGAGAATTCAAAGTGGCTGTCACATGTCCAGACTGCTCTGGCAACTGCTGGTCTGCTGGCAGAGTGTGTGGAGAGGTATGGTCTTATTGTGTACTCATCTTATATTCACATTCTCATGTTCTCATGTCTCATTCACAATCACTTTCTCTTGGAAAGACATTTGCAGGGGGATAGTATAATCTGTAATAATATTATGTAGAAAATATAAAATGCATGTGGAGTTTCTGGACTGTGATGTGTCTGTTGGTTTTGTCCAGGGACGGTCATTCAGTTCTGGTTCACGGCTCTGAAGGGACAGATTCTACTTTGCTCATCAGCACTCTGGCTCAGCTCATCATGGACCCGAGCTGCCGCACACTGGAGGGCTTCCTGACTCTGCTGGAGAGGGAGTGGGTGCAGGTGTGTGTGTGTGTGTGTGTGTGTGTGTGTGTGAGATCTAAGTAGCGCTCAAGATATTTATTGGTTGTTGATGGGGCCTTAAGGAGATGGAACGAAGAAGCTGCAAGGCTGGAAAAAACATTTGACTGCTTCTCCCTGTTCTCCTGTGTAAAAACCTCCTTCTTTAGTTGCAGATAATACTCACCTACAAATTAAAAGATAAGGCAGTAAAAGACAGCAAAGCACAGAACGTTGGGATGTAACATTACTGTGGAAAACAGAGGAACTAGTATTATCATAGTTTAAAAGACAAATAACCAAATTACCTTACAGTCAATGTGAGATTTAAGACACAGGAGACATATGGAGAGAGGAAGCAGTTAATGCTTGTTGGTAATTGCGGTTGCAGTGTTGAAATAGACAGATGCAAGTGTACAAATAGATCTGTAAGGTAAGTGATCAAAATGAAATCATTTTTATTACGTGCCTCAGGTAAACATGAGAGAGAGATGAGGCCCTGGCTAAAGGGTTAAAGCATGACTCTTGTACTATCTGCTCAAATGAAGTCATTAACAATCATTTTAGAACATATGACGATGGAGACTATCCCTTGTATGTATGTTGAAATAAGCAGAACATTTATAAATGACTAAATGACATGTGACACTGCAGAAATTGGTGTGTTTGTACGTACCATGTATGTACTGTGTGTGTTTCCTGTCTCAGGCGGGACACCCGTTCCAGCAGCGATGTGCCCACTCGGCCTTCTCCCATAGTCGTCTCCAGCAGGAGTCCCCGCTCTTCCTGCTGCTGCTGGACTGTGTGTGGCAGCTGTGGCGTCAGTTCCCTCTGGCGCTGGGCTTCTCAGAGGCGCTGCTCCTCAGGCTGGCGACCGAGGCCTACGCCTCCAACTACGGCACCTTCCTGTGTAACAGCGATCAGGAGAGGTCAGCTGCACTTCTCCTCATATTCTGACACAAAACCTTCTGTGTCACAGTAACCGTTTTCATCACACGCTACACGTTACCTGATTTCTACTTGCCGCAGGTGTTCTCTAGAGGTGAAGGAGAAGACTCACTGTTTGTTCCAGGCCCTGCTGAGGCCCAAGGAGAGAGAGCATTACTCCAACCCCCTGTACGAGTGCACTGAGTTGGCAATCTGGCCCTCGGTCCACCCTCAGTCCCTGCAGCTCTGGAGAGGTGAGCTTTGATTGACAGACATATTAAATCCAAGTCACTTTTTACCCATTGTAATGCTTTCACTCAAGACCCCTGCACTGGCACTCACAGCCCCTGCTTGTGTTTAGATTTCCTCTGCTTGTGCTCAGACTGTGTGTTGCTTGGAAAGATTTTGTGCATTCCAGCTCCTCTTCTCCGTGTGCTCACACTGCTTCTGTACACGCATTAAATGTCTGCTTTCGGATTTCTCCTCTGCTTGTATTATTACTTCTTTACTTTACTTCTGTCTTCTGCTTTGCTTCTTTAAGAGTCTCATACGGGTGGTCCATGCACTCCTGCCCTCCTCGGCATTATTTACACACTAAGCTAACACGCCCAAAACGATGGATGGACAATTTAATTTGTCATCACAACACCTGAACTTCTATTGGTTGGGGAATTTTGACAGGAGTGTCTCACAAAAAAAAATCCAAGCGCAGAAGAGAAGAGCAGATATTTTAGGCATGCACAGAAGCACGAGGAGAAGAGCTGAAGCTAGAGCACAGGAAATCTGTCCAAGCAACAAAATATCTCAGTGGAAGCGTTTGATTTTGACTGAAGGCATTACAAAACCTAAACATGAAATCCTGCTCTTAAACTTTAAGACCTTTGAGGTATTTCTAACTGTGTATTACCATAATTAGTTGCATTCATTCAATATTGTAGCATCTAATTTAATTCCTGGTGTTGTTAACTTCGTCTTGGTGCTGACTCAAGCTCACGTCTGATCCTCAGGCTTTTTTCTGAGGTGGACCCAACAGACTCGGCACCTGGAGGAGGCTCAGGAGGAAATAAGAAACATGGTCATTGAGTGGGGGAAGGTGGTGCTCAGCTGATGAACCCCCTGAATAAGGATGAATGTTACAAACTGTGATACGTGCCTTTTTGACTGTGGAAATTTTCAGAATTCTTAACAACCTTTTTACTGTATTTTTAAAGTATTTTATTGACTCTTTCATAAAACTTTTATTAGTAAAAACTGAACTGTTGAGGTATTTTAATGCTTTAAAAACCTCTAATTTAACATATGTTTTGCATCATTCCATTGAGGTATTTATTTTCTGACATTTATTCACCTATAAATAATATCAATAGAGGGAGGCTATGTAAATGACACACCTCCCAGTCCTGTTAAGCTCAGCTAAACACTCTTCACAATACAAATCCCTGTGCACAGCTAGTCAGCATGTTTGCACGTTCAGGGCTTTGCACGCTGGAGAATGTAGTCCCGTTCAGTCAAGAGCCACCGGCCCGGGTGATTACACAAACGTGGACAGGAACCACATAGTCCAGCATGACTCTCCACACCTGCTTATGTATCCAGTGGTCACTGGGCGAACTGAAAGGGTGACCAATGAGATGGGTCGGTGATCTTTTCACTCTAACATTTAAATGCCTCAAAAACTCTTTATCAGCACTTATCTTGTGATTTAGTTTAGTGGAATAGTTTTGGATTGACTGCAACTGCTGGTGTTGGATCAAGAATCATCTGTGCGGGATTTCTGTTTTTGTCAGCACACAGGTAACGTATTTTTTCATATAATCCATTTATGATACTATATGAAATGATCTTGTCTATAATGTTATGGTAAGATGTTTATCTGTGATAAGTGTCATCTTATGAGGTTCTGTTTAACTTTTCTAAAGAACTGCTGCTGGACATGAATCCGGGCGTGCAGGTCTGTGTGCCCACTGTGGCTCTGCTGGGCATGTATTGCCGAGGTTGCCTCAGCAGGACACAGAGTTTGCCCCGTCGCAGCTTCAGCACTTTGCACAAGCGGATGAGCAGGTGGAACAGTCTGGAGACCATCCACCACCCAACTCCTCAGGAAAACCCTCGTGTCCTCATCACAGGTTAAACAAATCCGCATCTGTCTGTTTTAAATAATCGCTGCTGCTGTCTCACATTCAGGGACAGCCACTCAAACCCTGGGCCCTGGAGGCTGCCATTGTTTTCTACCACTTTCCCTGTGCAACCAATGTTTGGCTTCTGTTGCTAAGAGAGCTGATCGGGAAAGGATGCCTTGCCCAAAGGCATCTTATGAGGGAGCAGAGAGCGGCATAAAACACAGCAGATCCTAAGTTTCAAATATCAGGTTACATAGTAGTACTGGAGGGAAGGTTTCATATCATTTAGTGACATGAGTGGAATACTACCCATGCTGTTGCTTCTTTCTTTTCGAGTTGTTTTCACTGTGCACCAGCACCAGGACCCTATTTTTGACTCATCACAATAGAGTGCATGCAGACAGTGCTAGTCACATAAAAGAGCCAATGGGTGGCAGTGGGTGAGAATAATAGCCTGCTGCCACTTTTTGTCCCATGATAAAGCTTTGGAACAAATGAATGTTTTTTTCCCCTCCAGCTTAAGCATGGTGCACCGAAAACATTGATGTCACTTTCATACCAAACTCCCAACATGTTTTTATTTTCTACACAGATAAAATATTAAATGTGTCTCTGTGTACAGGTGGCCTTGGGCAGTTAGGTGTGGGTCTTGCACAAACACTGAGGTGAGATATTCATACATTTCTGAGATATGGATGTTTATGAAAGTTTGGAATTTGACATCATGTCTTTATCAATGTCTAGAAAACAGTATGGAAGAGATAATGTCATCCTGTCAGACATCAAGAAGCCTCCACCTCATGTTTTCACCAGTGGTATGCAAAATCTAAATATGGTTGTAAGGCTTTTTTTGTCCTATTCTCCTCCATTCATACTTTTAAATGCTCGTCCCTCTCTTTTCCCATCAGGTCCATTCGTATACGCTGATGTGTTGGACTACAAGCACCTCAGAGAACTGATTGTAAATAATCGTATCACTTGGCTCATCCACTACAGTGCTCTGCTAAGTGCTGTGGGTGAGGCTAATGTGGCTTTGGCACGCAAGATCAACATCACAGGTCCGCTGGATTGCACACGATATTTACTGGTGCTGCATTTTCAGAGATTGTCATGATTTAACTCCACTCTGGATGTTCTAGGTCTCCATAACGTGCTGGACTTGGCACTGGAGAACTGCCTGCGCCTCTTTGTCCCCAGCACCATCGGAGCGTTTGGTCCCTCTTCTCCACGTGACCCGGCCCCAGACCTCTGTATCCAAAGACCTCGAACCATTTACGGCGTGTCCAAAGTGCACGGGGAGCTGATGGGAGAGGTGAAATTATTTTAAAAGCCACATACACATACAAAGACACTTACGATGACATTATTGTATATAGTGATTTTCAGATCTCATTGTCGTGTCAATCATTCTTCAGTATCTCCATCATAAATACGGCCTGGACTTCCGCTGCCTACGTTACCCAGGTGTGATATCAGTCAACTCATCTCCTGGAGGAGGAACTACAGGTATTGCTCAACTTAACATCTGCATATGGCACACACTGAATATATATGTGTGTGTGTACAGAAAAACAGCTGGATGTTATGGACTAAGCACCCCAGACCTCTTTCTTCACAGACTACGCAGTTCAAATCTTCCATGATGCTCTCAGCACAGGTCACCACGAGTGCTATTTGCGACCTGACACTCGTCTACCCATGATGCACATCTCTGACTGCCACCGTGCCACAGTGGAGTTCATGCAGGCTCCGGAGTGCCAGCTGTCCCTGCGCACCTACAACATAGCTGCCATGAGTTTCACTCCGGAAGAGGTGGCCCAAGAAATACGCAAGCATCTCCCCCACCTCAAGGTCACCTACAACCCTGATTCTGTCCGCCAGACCATCGGTATGACTTAACACATGTGGTAAACACACCTTGACACAAAACCTGGGTGGGATGATTAAGTTATGCAGTATATATAGACTGGGGTAATGTCTAACTGAAATGAAACAAATCCAGCTACATGTAAATGTATTAAAGGATGTTTATAAATGACATGTCCTGTTTTAGTTAAATTTAACCTGTTACCTGGTAGTGAAGAATCACAACGGCATGTTGGGGATTGTAATTAAAAGTCAAAACTTTTAACTTTCAGGATAAAAACAGCAATATTACTGGTAATTTGCCCTCTGTTGCGTTGTTGAAGTTTGTGACATTGTAAGAAAAAATTTAATCTGTAAGATTTTCAGGGCTCATGCAGGGGTGGATCTAGGATTGGGCCACAATTTCCACCATTCTTTGTTTACTGTCAGCTCTAGCAAGCATCAATGAAAATTGTTCTGTGTTCAAACACATTGTCGACTACAAAGCTTTAAAAATGTATTGTTAGTTGTGTAAGTGACTTAAAATAAAATAAAAAGGGTATATTGAAAGGATAGAGGCCTTTCAGGGGCCAATCAGGTTTTAGCTGGGGCCCGTGCCCCACTGGTGCCACCCCTAGATTCATGGGCTCACTGTCTTTTGAATTAATGTGGAATTCATTTCATCATCTTCACTAAAACTATTGAGTTTAATGTGGTCATCTTTGTGACTTTGCAGCAGACAGCTGGCCGGTAAGGTTTGATGACACCAATGCTCGGAGAGACTGGGGCTGGACACCAGCCTTTGGGCTTGAAGAGCTGGTGTCCGACATGTTGCACTTCATTCGAGACAAGAGGAACAATGAGGGTTTGCCAGTCAGCTAGCAAAACCTTCACCACAGAGACTGACCAATGCCCTGCCCCTTGACTGTTCCTCAGCCTGCATCTACCAACATCACACTTATCTCTCACTTCACTTTTCAGAAAGTTGTCAAGCACCTATCCTGTGTTTCTCTGGAACATTACAGCAATGACCCACAGCCTGTTTGTAAGGTGGGAATTCTCAGTCAGAAGCCCCCAGTATACAGTATACAGGTATACAGAGAGGCCACACGCATGCACACAATGACACACATTTCAGTCTTTTTCAGGGAATAATATGCTGTCAAACCTTCTCTCCATCGTTGTTGTTTTTAACTGTGATCGTGGTATTAGCATCATTTATATGCAAAAGAAAATTACTCATTTCGTAAGCTTCAGAGATTTCCATATATCAAATCATCTGCATGTACACAACAGTCTGTTAAATGTCTAATACAATATGGACCAGTTGCACATTGGAAGAATCAAACCTGTTGTACACAATGATTGCAGGATCATCTGGAATGGCTGGCTCAGTTAACTCTGGACTGTAATGACATCATGTATTCTTGCTGTTTTATAATATCAAGTGAAAATCACACACTGGACACAAACCCACTACCCTTGCTGGAAGGAAGCCTTTATTTTACTTTCTTCTGGCCAGCAGTGTGACTTTGATTATGAATATGCACCAATAACAAACAAAGCATTATTGACTGTAGATTACTTTTGAAAAACTGTCTAAAAATGCAGTGTTGTTTGAATCAGACTATGAATAATAAAAAATGTTATTTACCTAAATAGCTGTGATCATTATATATTACTCAAGGTCACATATTCAACATGTAGAATATACAAAAATATGTATCATGATGGTAACTGGGTGTAATGACTAGTATATGAGTATTTACGTTTAAGGTTTTGGATACTTGACTAGTACTTGACTAAATTTCAGACAATAACCATACTTTTTAAACCACTACATTCATCACACAACTATACATACTATATTTTTTTTAAATATTGCTCAACTTCCATATTCTCCATTTACAATGTCACATATATTGATTATGGTGGTAACTGGGTATAATTTTGAGATACTGTTAAAGGCATATTTAAATTTTTAGCTATTTGATACTTCTATTCCACTATATTTGAGACAATAATCATACTTTTGCACCACTACATTTATTACAGCACTATTAATGCCAAATGTTCAAATGCTCATGTATTCTAAATGCAGATTATTACAAAAATATTAAATTTTTGAGGTGCTAGTACTTATATTCTGAGCTATTGGGTACATCCACTCTACTACATTTTAGGCAATCTTCATACTTTTTACACCAGCACATTTATTACACAGCTACTACATATTGCATTATCATATCATGATTATTTAACTTAATGGATTCTATATGTAAAAGGTGCAAAAAATGGATTATAATGGTAACTGAGTGCAACTTTGAGGTGCTGGTGATTAAATATTTAAATTAACTATTGAGTACTATTCTTGTACATTTCACACAATCTTCATACTTTTTACAAAACAACATTTATTACTAAAGTGGTAGATTTATTATACAACCATATATACTATATAGGATTACATATTGCTCAATGTCAAAAATATCGATTATGATGGTAACTGGGTGTATTTTTGTTAAAATGTTAAAGTATTCTATACTTCTCTACAACAGTCATCATACTTAATACACCATTACCTTTGTTAACGCTGCTATTATACTATTTACAACATAAATAATGATACATAAGACGTGATCAACAGCTAAAAGATGATGCACTGTCATGGATTGAACTACATAGCAATTTGTGAGGTTTAGTTACAATTGACCAGTGACATTCAAATCTGCTCCCTCTTTAATGCATCAATAATTACAAGACAATATGATATGTGATTAAATCTTGCAGGAGTCAGTCTGCAATATGAAGGTATACTTTTCAAATGTTGTACTTTAACTAAACTACAATTTTAGATACAAACCTGATTGTAATCATTATTCTTAGTAGTAGTAGTAGTAGTAGTAGTAGTGAGAATCACTTACTTTATTTTATCGATTAACCGGTGGAGATGGACCTCCTCCTCCTCCTCCTCCTCCTCCTCCTCCTCCGCTGCTGCCATTACAGTACATGTAATGCCTGTTGCTGCCTCCAGGGGCGCTATCTCCATCCGGCTCTCCACACACACGTCTTTCTCAGCGGCGCTTGTTATTCATTTTCTCCGATAATGGACGCGGGATTCTTCCGCGTAAGATCTCTAACTTTATTCCTGTCCCCTCGGTGTCTTGTGTGTTGAACTGCTTTGCCTTGTGTTGTTCGTGTAGCCCTCTGATGTGCCACATGTGTTCAGGTGCAGAGCCGTACAGTCAGTAGCGTTACGGCCAAGGCTTCGTCTATCAACTGGTCTTGGTCTGGAGTTTCGCTAATAGTCGCGTTTCTTCTGGGAAACTTCCAGAACAAAAGGCGCGTCTCAGCAACAATTAACCTTCATCAATGTTTGTCTTGTGCAGCGTTACTCTGCTCACACGACTAAACCGTTCCACGTTAATGCGCAGTAGGTCACGTTTGCAGGAAATAGACGAGCCAGCCTTAGCTAGCTAGCTACTGCTAATTTGACTGCCTTGGTTAAAGATGGCGCCCGGGCGGTACATCGTTTGTCTCCCTGGGCTCGTGACGACCACTACTTCCCTCCTGTTAGAGAGTATATGCGAACTTCTGTGTGTATTAAACAACCACACTGATGTGATTTTCTTTAATATGATATTCACGTGTTTGGTTAAAATAACCGCCAGACTGTCGTTAGCCTGTCCGTGGCTAATGTTAGCCTGGATTCGAAGATTAAGTAGGCTAACTGTTAGCTTAGCTAACATTAGCTCACTGGTGTCAGTCTCAAATGACATGAGTTTCCTCACCTGAACCAACATTAGTTAAAAGCTGAATTATAGATATGAAATGATTTATCAGAACAAGCATTTCAGTGTTTGCTAACCTACTTTTAACGGTGTCTTTTCTGTTTTCCATGTGAGCTGGGTGGATAGAGAGTGGCTGCATGTTTGAAGCATGCGTTGAAATGTGCACGGATATGATATTGTTAAACAAATGAAATTAAAATGTGTTTGTTCCTCAGGGCACAAGTGCGGAGCAAGACAACCGGTTCAGCAACAAGCACAAGAAACTGCTGAAGCAGCTGAAATTTGCAGAATGTCTGGACAAGAAGGTACAAGATCATCCATGTGTTCTGTACAATGCTTTTGCGAATGTATTAGTTCATTTCAGATAAAAAATTGAATGGCATAAGATGTGTGATTTACCAGCCACTCTTCGCTTTAGAGATTTGTTTTAGATTGAAGCAAACTGTGAAGCACTCGGTTCCCAGAAGACCTTGTAGCATCAAGTTATTTAGTCAATGATTGTCTTCACTAACTTGGTGCCTTTTGTTTTATTGTGTCTGCCGTAGGTGGACATGACCAAAGTGAACCTGGAGGTCGTCAAACCCTGGATCACCCAACGAGTGACGGAGATTCTGGGGTTCGAGGATGACGTCGTCATAGAGTTCATATTTAACCAGCTTGATGAAAAGGTAATATCTACAATTGTGTGTGTGCATTTGTTTGTTTCAAAACTGTCATAGCTTTGAGGGCATTGATAGTCTATAATAAGGGATATAATCAAATGATTGCCATCCTAGTCAAATTGAAAATGAATGGGTACAGTTACAATTGGTATCAAACTCATATTTGATGACATAACCATGTTTTGCTTTAATGTGACAAGTGCCTTTATTTAGCAGTCTTCTAATGATGATGTGATTTATGATTTAAAAGGCCTGAACCAATATGGATGTTATACCTTGCATCAGAAGTATAGCACCAACACCTAATTAGCTCTCTCCTGAGCCCAAAGTCACTGAGCCCAACTCTCCCTTCATGATGCAGTGTGTGGTTTGAGGTGAGTTATATGCAGGGGTCACCTATATCATGTCAGTGAAAGACATACCTGAACAATGAAATGATCATATTCTCAGTAGTCATTTGCAATGCATCATTTTAACCAACCATTTGACCAAATTACTGTAAATGCCACAAGAATTGTATACTGGCCAATTGTTAAGAGCAGTGGATCTGCTTCATATTCTTACAGAATAAATTAAACGTATCTTAACACCAAGCTGAAATGTATTGACGTAATTGAACATTTCAAGTTTTGGCACCCCTGTTGGATGTGGTAAGAAGTGTCCTGTTGCATTTTAACCACACAGCAGTGATGTGAAGATGTGAGGAACACATCTCTGCATCACTGTATCAAGCTGAGAATATACAACCACTGGAGGTCAGCAAAAACAAGATTTTCAGCTGTTTTTAATTTATTCATCAAAACATCTAACAATAGGCAACATCTCAGTTGAATGTTGTCAAATGTGTAACAGGCTTAAATTGTTAAGCTATAACAAACAGTACTCTCCATCTTGGTGTTAAGTTACATTCAGTTTTTTTGACCTTGTTAAAATCCCGTTGTCAGTAGAGCTGTAATGCTGAGGCTCACTGATGTTAAGTATTTCTTTTTGAAGTAAGTATGTTCTTAATCCTATAGTTGTAAGGCTACTTTATTTCATAGAGATACATTATGTCAAAGAGTTAGGTTTTTTAAATCATAATGCCCCACATATGTTTTGATTCATTTTGGATATATGGTTAATGGGTAATTTCCTTTGCACATATTTGAAAATATGGGGGGGGGTTAATGAAGGAGACAGAACAGTGATTTACACATATTACCCTCAATTGATTGATATTAACAGGCTTGGGTTATAGTATATTTCTGAATAACTTTCATTCTCTTGAGATGCTAAAACAACATTTGTGCAGAAATATGATAAAAAATAATTTAGCCTTTTGCTTGCTATTCTTTTTTGGGGTTGGGTGAACTGTTGAAGCTAAGTTTAAAGGGTACTCTTGCATAGTAGTAAGAATTGCTAATTGAATTTGAGATTAGTGTATTTCGCAGTTATTCTTCATAATCAGTTGTTGAAATAAAACTTCGTTTTTGTGTGACTGTGTACTCATTATTGCTTGTTCGTCTCTTGCAATTTAGATAAATGATATAACATTAAGCTCAAGGTGGTTGAGTCTCAAGCAGTAGGGAGGCGGAAGCAAGCCAAGGGAGCTCCGTGCCCACTGATCCCACGGGACTCACTGAAGACACCGGAACTGTACTTGCAGTGTTGGGTTTTAATGCACTCTGTATTGTGGCTATTTGTTTAACTCCTGAAGTGTAGACTGTGGGCAGACTGGAATATAGTGGGTGGGCAGAAACACAGAAATGTAAACTGGGGATAGCACTGAGGAAACCGAATATCTAAGTATTTTTTATGAAATGGCATTTTTTATTATGGTTAATGTATCTGGGGAACAAAATCAGAACTGCATAACAGCAGTCTTGCATGCAATTTTTATATCTCTAGATATGTCTCCCTCAGCTAGCTCGCATTCTCAGTTTGAGTTTGTGAGTATGATTTACATCTTTTTTATTTTGATAGTCCAGTATTGGACCCAGGGAAGTTAAATATCTAGTCAGCACCTTAACATGTTTTGAGTATGTTAAACTACATAGTTACAGGTTTAGTGAGGAGTAGAAGGTAGGAAGCCCCATATGGTGGGTCCTACCTCCCCCTGATTGGTGCCTTCCATCATTTCAATGCCTATATGGCTTCTTTCCCCCCTTCGTGTGTGTGTTGCAGCACC